GCGGGACGGGACGGACAGGCGGCCGGTGCCCCGCCGGCGCTGCTTTGGAGCCTGGGGTAAGGCTGCGGCGTCGCGGAGAGGAGCTGGGGGACGGGGATGAGCCGGCGTGGGGATCCTGCCGGTGGTGGGATGGGGAAGGAGCGGTGCAGGGGGAGCTGCGGCCCCGCAGCGGCGGCGATCCCGGCTACCGGCGCTGGCTCGCTCGGTGACCTTGGTCAAGTTGTGCCTCTGCTCCGGTCTGGCTTCGCAGCCTCCCGGCGGTGCAGGGGAAGGCGCCGAGTCCTTCCCGGGCGGGAGCCATCCCGGCGCGGAGCCCGACACGTGAGGWGGGGGCAGCGTCCGGCCCGGTGGGACCAGGTGCTGGCGGGCTACGGGGATAAACGGGATGACCGGGATGCCGGGACCTGCCGCTCTGTGCCGAGTGCGCTGCTCGGTGGGAGATGCCGGTGTGAGACACCCCGCGCCCGCAGGGACCGGGGAAGATGTCCCCGCAAATGTTAAAATACACATTTCTCCGGYGGGCACCGATCAGTCAATAGCTTGTGGGGGAATCTCCCGTTCCCCGCACCGCAGGGCCCCGCTCCACCACCCGGATCATCGGGGCGAGCAGCGGGCGACCCGTCGAGATATRTTTGCTCGCCGCGGGCGCCTACCCGGCACAGCTCCAGCAGCTCCGGGAGCGGGGGGGATCCCCCTGTGAGACTCCGTTCCCTTCCCTAAACACTCATCTTTTCGGTGAGAAACAAAACTCYGGGTCTTTAAAGCGCTAGAGAGCATCAGCTCTCAGCGCAGCGATGCTCACCCTGCCCTGTCCCTCCGCAGGGGACCCACGTGTCGCTGCCGTGGCGAGTCCCGGGGTGCCCCCGGTGGGTCCCGGGCACGGTGAGCCTGGGCGCCGCGGGGCTGGGTGGGACCTGCCGGCAGATGTCAGTGTCCCCTCTCTGTCAGCAGTCAGGAGGGTCCCTGTCAGCCCCGGAGATGTTGCAAAGAGGCCTCTGCACTTTTTCCGAAGCAGAGCTGTCTTTGATGGCCGTTCAGTGACAGTTTGGAGACCAGGGGAGCAGCAGGGTGCCGGGAAGGGGGGTGGATCCACTCTGACACTCCAAAGGAGGGCTCGCTCTCTCTGCCCAGCACCAGCCACCCACCACCACCTTATTTATTCTGTGCCGCTAATGTTGAGCTACTTGTGCATCCCTGCCCGTTTGTGACTCTTGTCACCCGTGTGAAGGCAAGGCAGGGAGGGGAGGCAGTGCTCCTCACCTTGCAGCCCCCAGCTCCTGCATGAGGCTGGCACTGGGCTTGTAGGGTCTGTTACGGGGAGGGAGCTGCAGGGGTACTCTGTTTCCCTGGCCCCTTGTGTAGAGGGTTGCTCTTTTCCCCCATCCCCTCATGTGCAGGGATGCTCTTCCCTGGTCCTAGAGATCTGCAGGGGCTCTTTAGGCTGAGAGCTCAGTGGGAGGTGGGGAAGCCGGAGCTGCTGTTACCACCACTGTGCTGGGGTGGGGAYTGTATTTTGCACATTGCTTTATTTAAGAGGCTTTTTGCCTGTAGGTGTGAAAGTCTCGGGTGTGCAAAGCCAGAGGGCAGAACACATGGCACTGGTGCGACTCGCTGCACGCAGCTGCTGTGTCCCCTGACAGCGGCCCAGGCTTCAACTCATTTGATGTCTTATGCAAATCCTTGGCTCCCCGAGTCCTGGGATTTTCTGCTATTTTCCTTTACTCTCATCTTCAAGTGTCTCGCTCTTGAGGATGTGAAGAAAAGCTAATAAAAGGAGCCCGAGTCACTGAGTCTTAGAGGTTTTCTAAGCAGTCTCCTGAGCGGGGAGSAGGGCAGGGACCCGGAGTCCCTTGGCTATCAAGGTTGCAGAGGGTGTTTTGTGGGAGCCCGGTGAGAATCTGTTCACAGGCACCACTGTGATGTTGAGCACCGCGGCTGTGGCCGGACGGAAGGCTCCGAGGTGGCTGTCCCCACGCTCAGCGCCTGGAGCTGTGTCTCCGAGGCCGGCTGCCAGGTGGCTGCCAGCACCCCGCCGTGCCCGCTTTGCCAGCGATTACCGCGCTGCTGTCGCTCCGGCGGTGCCTGCCTCGCTCTCTTAATTACCCCAGCAGATCAATGAGGCCCTGGCGCTTCCTTGGGAGCGTGCGGCTCCT